TGGACATAACGGGAGAAGTTACTTGATGATGCTAATAATTCAGTGAGTATATTATTGTTAATTCTGTACTGTACTGTACTGTAGCAGCAAGACACGGCCACCTTGACATATGGGTGAAGTTACTTGACGCTGATGTTAACACCAGTGAGTATATTATTGTTACTACCTCTGTACTGTACTGTACTGTACTGTAGCAGCAAGACACGGCCACCTTGACATATGGGTGAAGTTACTTGACCCTGTAGCTGATGTTAACACCAGTGAGTATATTATTGTTACTACCTCTGTACTGTACTGTACTGTACTGTACTGTAGCAGCAAGACACGGCCACCTTGACATAAGGGTGAAGTTACTTGACGCTGTAGCTGATGTTAACACCAGTGAGTATATTATTGTTACTACCTCTGTACTGTACTGTACTGTACTGTACTGTAGCAGCAAGACACGGCCACCTTGACGTAACGGAGAAGTTACTTGACGCTGATGTTAACACCAGTGAGTATATTATTGTTACTACCTCTGTACTGTACTGTACTGTACTGTAGCAGCAAGACACGGCCACCTTGACATAACGGAGAAGTTATCACTGAGCACACTGTGAGTATATTATTACCTCTGTACTGTACTGTACTGTAGCAGCAAGACACGGCCACCTTGACATAACGGAGAAGTTACTTGACGCTGGTGCTGATGTTATTACAAATGAGTATATTATTGTTACTTCCTCTTTACTGTACTGTACTGTAGCAGCAAGACACACACCTTGACATAACGGAGAAGTTACTTGACGCTGATGTTAACACCAGTGAGTATAATATTGTTACTACCTCTGTACTGTACTGTACTGTAGCAGCAAGACACGGCCACCTTGACATAAGGGTGAAGTTACTTGACCCTGTAGCTGATGTTAACACCAGTGAGTATATAAGAACATAAGAACATAAGAAAATAAGGAGTCTGCAATAGGCCGGTTGGCCTGTGCATGGCAGCTCCTGTCGAGAGTTACTACCACTCTCTATCATCCATGAATCTATCCAGCCTTCTTTTGAAACTTTCCAGAGTTCCCGCACTTACTACAAAGTTGCTAAGCTTGTTCCACTCGTCCACCACCCTATTTGTGAACCAGTTCCTTCCTATCTCCCTCCTAAACCTAAACTTATCCAACTTGAATCCGTTGCTCCGAGTCCTATCCTGCTCGGATATTATAAGAACTTTATCTATATCCCCTTTATTGATTCCTTTCACCCACTTAAATACTTCTATCATATCTCCCCGCACTCTTCGTCTTTCTAGGGAATGCAAGTTAAGTTTCTTTAACCTATCCTGATATGGAAGGTTTCTAAATCCCGAATCATTTTTGTCATTCTTCGCTGCACCGACTCTAGTGAATTTATATCCATTCTATAATAGGGGCACCAGAACTGAACCGCATAATCGAGGTGCGGCCTAACTAGCGCAACTAGCGCTATTGTTACTACCTCTGTACTGTACTGTACTGTAGTATAATAATACCTCAACATTCACCTTGTACACATAAAGTAATACATCATAACATTTATATTGACGTCTCTACTAAATATTTGCCATCAGTGATGTAATGATACGTAATATTTATAGTCTATTTTCTACCTTTTATGACATTTGTTGTTCTTGAGCCCTACATGTACGTCACCTATCAGTTATTTGTAGGGTTTATTTTATGGTATAGCGGTGGAGCGGTGGTGGTGGTGCAGGGATAATGTGACAGCTCTACACGAGGAGACCACACCAGGGTGGCTCACCTGCTGTTACAGAGGAAGGCAGATGCTGACAAGACCTGGTGGTGAGTTGTGTGTGTGTGTGGTCATCATTCTCTGATATAATTGTTTGTGTCAACTTGGTCATCGTCATACAATAAGAAACAGCATCTTTACTGACGTCATTAAACACTTAAGTTCTGCCAGATAAGAATTATAATGGGCTTTATTATGTGTTATTTTATCAATTGTAAACTAATTTATTTATTTCATGTTATTTAGTATATACTGTATAGTCTGTTCACTGCAACTTTGCTTAGAGCTGTTTGTAGCAAGACAGCCGATTGGTTGACAGTAAGACGTCCAAGGCGTCACTCAACTGGAGCTTCAGTATTTAATTTGTTTAACCTACATTAAGTAATACTAACTGTTTAAGCTTGGCCTCACTTGGGGAAGTAAACATTACCATGTGAAACACACTGGTGAGAGAACAACAACAACTTACTATACAAAATGTCAGCGATAATCACCACGTCACTCGGCTCAGCGGTGTTAAGTCTTTACGGTCACCAGTTCAGTCGCCGCAGTCATTTTCCACACGATTCCCTCACTTTATATTACTCCATTAACCTCCATTCAACACCTTCATACACTTTTATTCTCCCCGACAACAAACACATCCCATTTGACAACCAAGACGTCGAGTGTTGGTGGCGGGGATAACGAACAGGAGATGGATTTGTGGTAACCTTCACCTGGCTTTTATCTGTCTTGGACTAACTTCTTTTTTTTCTTTTTTTTTCCGGGACTAGTCCCACCCAGGCACAGGTCACTGACCCACATCAGGGCCTGGGGGGCGGAAATATTATAATAATGATAATAATAATAATAATAATAATAATAATAATAATAATAATAATAATAATAATAATAATAATAATAATAATAATAATAATAATAATAATAATAATAATAATAATAATATCTACTATTATTATTATTATTACAACAATTAATAAAATAATAGCAAATTACTACAAATACAAATAAAATAATAATAATAATAATAACCATAAATAAATACAAAAACGAAAAAATAAATCAAGAGAGAAACGATACACATTATGTATGTTGTGTTGTCCAAATAAGAGAAACAATTGAGACCCAGCAATTGTGTGTAAATGAAGCAGAAAGTCAGATCAGCAACCTGGGACTTGGTCACAATTTTCGTGATGCCATATGGCAGCAGGGTCTACCTTCAGACAACACACTATGCTTCCAATATCTTCCCAGGCGGTAGTACCTCCCTGTTTGGTAGCTGCCTACTACCTACTACTTTACATTCATTATGTTTTATTTGGTTTTAGCCACAAGAGTTATATAAGTTTTATAACACCACCATTCCTACTGGTGCTGTTCCTCTCCACCCTCATGACTCATTAATAATTACCATCTGGAAACCTTCTCCACAATTATACATTAACACCAATAAATAGTGACAATTGGAGATGATTATAATTATCAGAAGTGAAGGAAAATTTGTACTGCAAGATTGTTGTTATAATGTTATTACTGCAGGTGAACAACTTAACAAGGTCAGTAACACCAACAACAATTTACTGTGTTATTACTGCAGGTGAACAACTTAACAAGGTCAGTAACACCAACAACAATTTACTGTGTTATTACTGCAGGTGAACAACTTAACAAGGTCAGTAACACCAACAACAATTTACTGTGTTATTACTGCAGGTGAACAACTTAACAAGGTCAGTAACACCAACAACAATTTACTGTGTTATTACTGCAGGTGAACAACTTAACAAGGTCAGTAACACCAACAACAATTTACTAGAGATGGGGGTAGGATTGGGGCAGGCAGTTGTCCTTTATGGCATACCAGATACTTCAGTACAGTATAACAAGAATTCCATAAAGCTATGTATTAATGTATGTGACGTGCTGGGTAGAAGCAAGGCATATGTAAACAAGCCACTGGCTGATGATTACAAACACACTGAAATATTCATTAAATGGAAATGTTTGGGAACATCATCCCTGACTAGCCAGGGTCGCGGAACCCCCCAGAGACTTGCCAGAGGCAGTGGCACCCCTCAGGGGCCCTCCCAAGGACGGCGGAGGCCCCAGGAGCCCTGCCACAGGTTGTGGCACCCTGAGTACCTCTTCCAGGGACTGTGGCGCCCCCAAGGCCCTCCCAGGGACGACAGCGCCCCCTAGGTTCGTTCCAGGTAGCAGTACGCCCCCAGGGGTTCTCCCAAAGGTGGCAAATCCCCCAGGGGCCCTGCCATGGGCTGTGGCACCCCCAAGGAATTTACCAGGAGCTGTCGCGCCCTCAAGGCCCTATCGGGGGCGGCGGTACCTCCCAGAGCCCTCCCAGGGTTGGCGGTGCTCCCACGGGTCCTCTCAGGGGTGGCGGTGACCTCAGGGGGGCCTCTTAGAGGCGCCCCCTTACGGGAGCACTATAGCCTGCTTGGTCGTGGTGTTGTACATATTGCATACATACGTCCAGCAATACTTTACTTAACTGTGATTGGTGGACTAAAATGTAAATACACCGAATAACAACCAATAGGAGAACAGAGCACTCTGTCAGCACAACACCCCAACTTATGTTTTCCTGTTGGATATTTAGTCTCCTTTATATTGTTTCTGATGCGATGATACTGGAAATGCGATGGACTGTGTATTTATTTAACGTCATATCTCCCATTATTCTAAAGAGTGATAAACTACTGCCACAAGGGGCCCTACAAGAACAGCGCTCCTTTGGGCCCTCCCATATGCCCAACCAGGTGCGGCGCTTTCGGAAGCCTTTGCAGGGGCGGTGGCACCCCCAGAGGCCCTCCTAGGGACCACAGGGGCCCTCCGAGAGACTGTGACAACCCCAGGGGACCTCCCAGGGGGTGCAACGACACCAAGGGCCCTCCCAGAGGCAGTGGCCACCGAAGGGACACTTCCAGGTCGGTGGAGCCCCCCAGAGCCCTCACCTGGGCAATGGCACCGCCAGGGGCCCTCCCAAGGGCGGCGGAGCCTCCAGGAGCCCTGCCAGGGACTGTGGCACCGTGAGGCCTTCTTCCAGGGAACGTGGTGCCCCGAAGGCCCTCCCAGGGGCGGCGGTGCCCCCCAGGGCCCCCCCCAGGGGAAGCAGCGCCCCCCCAAGGATTTTCCAAAGATGGCAAACCCCCCAGGGGCCCTGCCAGGGGCTGTGGTACCCCAGGGTCTTTTCCAGGAACTGTGGCGCCCCCTAGTCCCTACCAGGGACGGCGGCACCCCCTGGTCCTCTCAGGATTGATGGTGCTCCCACGAGCCCTCCCAGGGGTGGTGGTGACCCCAGGGGACCTCTTACAGTCGTCCCCTCCAGGGAGCCCTATACCTTGCTTAGTCGTGGCGTCGTACATATTGCATACGTCCGGCAATCCCTTACTTAACTGTGATTCGTGGACTAAAATGTAAATACACCGAATAACAACCAATAGGAGAACAGAGCACTCTGTCAGCACAACACCCCAACTTATGTTTTCTTGTTGGATATTTAGTCTCCTTTATAGTGTTTCTGATGCGAAGATACTGGAAATGCGATGGACTGTGTATTTATTTAACGTCATATCTCCCATTATTCTAAAGAGTGATAAACTACTGCCACAAGGGGCCCTACAAGAACAGCGCTCCTTTGGGCCCTCCCATATGCCCAACCAGGTGCGGCGCCTTCGGAAGCCTTTGCAGGGGCGGCGGCAACCCGAGAAGCCCTTCCAGGGACCACAGGGGCCCTCTGAGAGACTGTGACAACCCCAGGAGACCTTCCAGGGGGTGCAACGACACCAAGGGCCCTCCCATAGGCAGTGGCCACCAAAGGGACACTTCCAGGTCGGTGGAGCCCCCCAGAGCCCTCACAGGGGCAATGACACCCCTGTCTCTCTCTCTCTCCCTCCCTGTCTCCATCTCTCTCCCCCATCTCTCTCATCTCTCTCTCTCCATCTCTCCTCCCCCCATCTCTGTCTCTCCTCCCTATTCCCCCATCTCTCTCTCTCTCTCTCTCTCTCTCTCTCTCTCTCTCTCTCCGTCTCTCATTTTTATGCCCCCTTTCAGCTATCTGTCTATTCATCTCTCTAACTTTTTTTTGTCTGTCTGTCTGTCTGTCTGTCCCACCTTTTCACTTCGTTGGGTTCTTAAGACGGCAATTTTATATTATTTTCTGACCTTTATTACTTAAGAGAGATCTCATTAAATTGTTTTACTTTGCTAAAAAAAGATTATGTCTGCGATCCTTAACGAACGATTTAATTTTCATTATTTTGTATATAAAGTTTCTCTATATATAAACATTACTTCTCTCTCTCTCTCTCTCTCTCTCTCTCTCTCTCTCTCTCTTCTGTAAGATTTCAAACAGCAAAGTTATTTTTACATCCTTAGATTCGTAATTCTAAACATTTAAATCCACAATACTAAACATTTATATTCCTAATACTAAACATTTAAACACTAAATTATCTTGACTTCGTTTAACGCCACCATCGTAGGACTAACCATTGTCTCTGATCTTAAACGAATCATTATTATTTGTCTTTGATCTTACTCGGATTATTATTATTAATGGCATAAATTATTGGATTATCGTCCGTGTATTTGTGTTAATGTTGGTGGGCGGTGTGTTTGGTGAGGCGTGTAATTCATAGCCGAGGGGCGGTATGATTCGCTCACCTGCCCTCCTACCTTCTGATGCTGATAGTAACAATAATAATGATGGATGGTAATACTTGTATGATATATATGGACACAAAGTAGTGCCTTCAGCTGTATATTGTTATATTACTATTATTAATTATGTATAGTAAAGTATTACAGAACATGTATTAATTCTATGTAATATTCTATTTATTGTGCACCATATTATGTATATAAATTATCACATTTATACTTTATGTATTCAGCTTGTGAATGCTGGCATCTGTATAGGCCAGCGCGTAGTAATACATAGATAGATGTAGACGTAGTTAAGACTGAGTTCTGGTGGTGTGCCCACAGGCTTCCCGTGTCCGACTGTATCATCTCCCGTACGAGAATAGAACCTACTTTTAAAGACAACAAGTGTTTGTATATACCCTCAGTAATATAGAACATTCTTTGGGTATCTGGCAATACGCTAGATGGCGCAGTGATTCTTTCTCAGTGAGATTCAGCGGACCAAGCCTTCCCGCCCGGACTCTGTTTATGGCGTCTCTTCCACTTCAGCCGACAGCAAGACTACTACAAGCCTCTGGACTTACAGTGTTGTGAAGTGCTATGCTGTGTACAGTGCTGTGCTGTGAAGTGAAGTGTTTTGTGAAGTGCTGTGTATTTTAATCATAATTGTCTGTGCAAGTTGCGGTCAGATGACCAAGGGAGCAGCCCGACAGTACGTTCTCTCCTGTCTCTGGTCTGAGGGTGACTGAGGAGCTACGCGACGCTGGCCACTCGCTCCTACGTCTGGCAGCGCGCCAAGTCTCTCCCCTCCCGCCAGGCACACACACACACACACACACACGCATTCACCTTATATTTCTTGTGACTTACTGTAAACTTCTGTAATTCTGTGCATAGATTACGAGGGGCTGACCCGATCTTTTGCACAGATAGAGTACAGAAGCAGTCGGCATGTCTCACAGGGATCATAACGATACCCTGGACGATGGGGTTACGAGTTTTAGTGTGGGAGACCTCTCCCTACCCACGATTACGCCCCACGCCCCCCACAGTGACAGTGCCCAATCACCCACAGAATCTCCTCGCTCATCGCGAGCCAGCTCTCCTGCGATGCATGCGTCCACAGATCTCCTTCAACTGATAAAGTGGATGGAAACTTCTCGACGCCAGGACGATATGGCAAGGAGAGAAGAGGAAGAAATTAGGTACAAAGAGTCTGAAAGACGACGCCACAAAGAGGAACAAACACGCAGAGAACTCGAAGACATACGTAGACGTGAGGATGACCTTAGAAGACAGGAGGATCAAGCCAGATTTGAAGCTTTGATTTCTCTGTTAGCCTCCCCACAACGTTCTACCGTACAAGATTCGTCTGCTACAACTGATGTTGATGCGACTAGAGGTACTGGTACCTCATTTTCCAGAGTCGGAACAACACCTCAAAAGGCTGCTGTACAGACGCCTCCCTCTCTGATGTCTGACGCTTCTTATCAGATGTTTCGGGAATGGCGTCGACGTTGGCAAGACTACGCAACAATGGTTGACTTGTCCAGTTTATCACAGCCGAAACAAATGATCCAGCTTCGTATGTGCTTGTCCTTAGAGACACAACGTACTCTCGAGCACACACTTCAAGTGCCTCCTACGACAACTATGACGGTAGAGGCCGTGCTCGACAAGTTGCAAGAACACGTCAAGGGACAGCGCAACGAAGCACTCAGGAGAAGACAACTCCTCCAATGTAAACAGCTTGATGAAGAATCTTTTGACGCGTTTTTTGTACGGCTCAAAAGGTGTTCAGAGGAAGTTGATGTTTGTCCCGGACATTCTCAAGTCTGTGAAGAAACACAACTTAAGACAATTATCTTAACGGGTGTCCGAGATGAAGAGCTAGTTCAGCGTCTCATTTCCCTCGACCCCACTTCCTCCCTTCAAGATGTTGTTACGAAATGTCGAGCGTATGAGGCCGCCAGGTGTGCGACTTCAGCTTTACGCTCACAGCCTGACCAGGTGAGGGCAGTGTCTTCCTACAGAAAGGGTAAGAAGCAGCAAGGTAACCCCACCCCTCACCCTCCAGCCACACCTTCAGCAGCAGATTTGTGTAACAGCTGCGCGAGACAGCATAATGCCTCCCAGTGCCCAGCTGCTCAAAGCGTGTGCAGAAGTTGCGACCGCCAGGGTCACTGGGCTTACACAGTCAAGTGCCCTGCTAGCAAAGTTCAGTGTAGACTTTGTGGTCGTGTGGGCCATTATGACAAATGTTGTCGTAAGAAGACACATAAAGGACACCACCTAGGATCCAAGAAGTTATCCTCAGGTAGTGCTGGCGCGCCCCCTCCTCCTGGCAAGCATCAAGACGCTGTGTCCAGTCGTTCCTGCCGTCGTGTACGTAGTTCCACAGACACGACGCCCCAGCACATCAATGTCGTCATTTCTTACGGTAACTCGTCATCCAGTCTTCAGATGTTACCTGACACCGGTGCTGACGTCTCAGTAATTGGTCCACAACATTTAGCAAGTTTGGGAATACCCCGGAGCAACCTACAGCCCCCTCCTCAGACAACGAAACTGACGGCTGATGGTTCCAAGATGGCTCCAGCGTTGGGATCTTTCTGGGCTACCCTTACCTTTGGTAAGCAGTCTTGCTCAGCCCGGATTGATGTTCATAATGGTATCCCGACTCCGCTTTTATCATATGGCCATTGTCAAGAATTGGCCATTATTTCCAAGGAATTCCCTAAACCTATCTTAAAGGTCACCCATGTCAACAGGTTGAAGGAATTCCCTATCTCTACTAACACGTCCCCTTCTGACGCAAGAGCTTACCTTCTCAAGGAGTTTGCTGACGTGTTGGTTAATAAGAAATCTTTAGGATCCACACCACTCAAGCCGATGGTGGGTCCACCTATGAAGATTCATCTTAAGGATGGTGCTACACCTTTTGCCATCCACACCCCTCGTTTGATTCCTCACGCCTACAAGGAGCTAGTTAGACAAGAGCTTGACTCCATGGTTGTTCAGGGAATCATCAAACCGGCCGGAGACGAACCTTCACCTTGGTGCCACCCTCTCGTCCCCGTCGCCAAACCTCGTGGTGGAGTACGGATCACCACCGATCTGTCAAAACTTAACCAGCAAGTTTCCCGTCCAGCCCACCCTTCACCCACACCCTTCGCAGCTGTTCGAAGTGTGGACCCGAAGGCGAAGTTTTTTACAACTATGGACGCCTTATGTGGTTATTGGCAGATCGAGTTGGCCGAAGAAGACCAACACTTGACTACATTCATCACACCATTTGGAAGATACCAGTATTGCAGAGGCCCCATGGGATTTGCCGCTACGGGCGATGCATTCTGTCAACGTGGTGACGCGGCCCTTCAAGGAGTCACGAATTGTGTCAAGGTGGTTGATGATATCTTACTCCACGACGAAGACTACTGTGCCCACCTCTCCCGGATATATGAAGTTCTCACCAGATGTCGAAAGTACGGGATTACCCTCAACGCTGACAAGTTTGTAGTCGCCGCTCCATCAGTGAACTTCTGTGGGTACACCCTCTCAGCATCAGGCATTGCAGCTGACCCGGAGAAAGTAAGTGGAATCAGGGATTTTCCAACCCCTGCCAACCTAACAGACCTCCGTTCTTTTTTAGGTCTGGTCAATCAGCTGGCTGAATTCACACCTGACATCTCCGCCGCAGCCCAGCCGTTACGCCCCCTGCTGAGCCCCAGGAGGACATTCCTGTGGACCCCAGATCATCAAGAGGCCTTCCAGCAAGTTAAGCAGGCCCTTGTGAGTCCACCTGTCCTCGCCTGTTACGACCCAGCCCTACCCACCGTCCTCCAGACAGACGCCTCCAGACTCTACGGCGTTGGTTACGCCCTTCTGCAGGACCATGGCGGTGGACAACTCCGCTTAATTCAGTGTGGATCCCGGTTCCTTACGGACCCTGAGACCCGATATGCCACGATTGAGCTGGAGATGTTGGCTGTTGTCTGGGCGATGGCGAAGTGCCGTTTCTACCTGATAGGACTTCAGCACTTCACCCTCTTCACGGATCATCGCCCCCTTATACCTATAATCAATCACTACTCTTTGGATGC